TATTTGGCTTTAAGAATCTGAAACAGTCAATGCCCTGTTCAGAAAACAGCAGAGGCTAAAGCACGTACTTCATGCAACAAATATATAATTCCTCGTCTTTTTATCATTATAGAGACAAAAATATAAAGAATGCCACCACAAAATCATGATTTGAAACTTGTTTGTGCTTCGTTACAGTCCTAACCATTGAAACCTGCATTCTTGTTACAGGTCATGTGATATAGACAATGGCACCACTGGTTGCTATGGATATGGTAGCTCTGGTTATTTGTGGACAATGGTCACTGATTGATTCTCCCTAGAGCTGACAGTCACATTCAACCTCCTCTGGCATGCTAATTATCAGATAATCATGTTTGTACATTCATTACCTAGATTACCATTAATGCACAGGCTCGGCGATCGCTTATTTATGTAAATACTCAATTGGTGTAGCGGTCAAGATTCAGGGTTAGTACTTGGCATCTATTGAAGTACCATATTCATCTTAATAAGAGCATGCCACTTACATGTTAGTGATATTGCTAAAATCCCCTTCAAATGCCTGATGAGCATTAACAGAACCTTAATGCAATATTCATCATATAGTAATTTGACCAAACTGTCAGTGAAACAGGGAAATTGGAATCATGTTCAGTGTGTTTGAGTGCAGGCACACAAGAAACCAGTCCAGCAAATTGCACTGTAAACTAGAATAATATATAGATGGAGCCACTGTATGAAATGTTGTCTTAAAAATAGCACCGTTTGGGAGATTCCTGGGCCCAAATTAATCCCTGTTAATCTCCTACATGTTAAACTGTCTGCAGTACCTTTTTTCAACTGGTGTAGAAGACTTTGTCCTGGTGGTGCAAGACATTCTCTCTTCAAGTTTGTGAAATCTCAGAAATATGACTGTATGGAGGATGTTAAATAAGTTGGACGCCAGTCATGCAGTGCAACCAATGTGACATAATTGTGCACTGGTGCATTGCCTGGTGGAACAACATACCTTCAATGAGTTCTCCAAAACATGCAGCCTCAATATTATCATGAAGTTGCATAAGCAAATAAATATGACATTGGCCATTGATGGTCCAGCCTTTCGAGAGGTAGTCTACCAGTAGAATCATTTGGAATAAAAGAACAGCAAAGGCACCATTAGAGTTCCTATGGAAAACCAAAGCCATCATCTTGCCAGCTGATGGAACAAGCTCTGTCAATATAATGTCTCCACTGCTTCCACAGTTCTTTATCTGGTTGTTAGCGCAGTTCATCAGTTAGCGCAAGAGTATCATCATACTTAATACATGTCATGTCAAAGTGTTTTCAGCCACCCTTAATAACAATAATGGGTAATAAAGTCTTTAAAACACATTTAGTAGTTGGAGGAACTTGAATACATGACACTTCTTAATGATAACAACGTCTTTTACTCTTTGTCATGAGGGGCGGCGGGGTAGCCTAGTGGTTAAAGTGTTCACTTGTCATGCCAAATATCCGGGTTTGATTCCCCACATGGATACAATGTGTGAAGCCCATTTCTGGTGTCCCCTGCAATGATATTGCTGGAATATTGCTAAAAGCAGCATAAACTAACTCACTCACTCACTTTGTCATGAGGATCAGAACTACTTCTTGCTCCTTCTTCAGGTGGATAAAAGTGTCATGTATTCATAATATGGGTAACATAACCAACAATAACAATATTTTGAAGTCATTTGTACGTAGAATCTGGCTAATGCAAATTCCTATTATGAACAGAGGTTACATGTGCTTTAAGCTACGTAAAATAATGTTCAACACTCTAACACAAGTCACAATTTTACTGAGCTTTTGACTGTGATATGAACACAATGACAAAAATGCTTTGGTCAATATTTTCTTTTAATTTACATTTAAATTAAAATTATACATCCTATTAGGTTTAAATACGACAGCCTAAATAACACTAACAAAAGGTTAATATTGTATGTAATGAAAAAAGTTTATGAAAAATGAAATCTATGCATACAATATACTAGTGTTTAAGAATAAAACAAAAATTTGAATATAGATGTATTTTATTTACAACTTTATATCCTTTCAAGGAAAGTACTATCTAAATGCATAGACATTGTGTGCTAAAATCTTGTTCTATCAAAAAGATGATTGGCCATATTAACCCATGACTAGATGTTTTTCCTATTAATTAAGTTGCAAGTCAGGGCAAGAAAATGTCATCCTGCTGCGCCCAGATTCAATTTGGATTGTTTCACCCAATTAAACCGTCATCACCTTGGGGTAATAGAACAGGAACGACAACTTGATTGATTACAGTTGTCAACAACACTGGACAATGATTTCACTATGGAATTTGTCAAATGTTTAGTAAGTTGAACAAGTCGGTACAGAACACCGGATACCTACCAGCCATATTGTTTAGTGTCACGCCACCCTAACCCTAAACCTTACCCTAACCCCAAACCTTACCCTAACCTAACCCTAATATAAGTAAACTTGCCTGCTTTCAAAGATGGCGGAAGGTATCCGGTATTCTGTAGTGGAGTAACCTGGAGGTTGAACTGTTTGATCTTCATGCTAAATGCTCACATTCAATTCCCTAAATGGTACAACTGGTGAAGGAGATTTTTGGTGCCTAATGATATTGCTGGAATATGGTTAAAACAGCCAACTCATTCACTCACTCACATTTATACATGGACTTGAATTGCTGCTTTTCATAAAATGACTCACAAAATGGTTATGAGGATGAGATATTATTTAGGTTCCCAATCCAAGGTAAAAGTTAAAAGATATAAGCATTATGTTTCAGAACATTTTCTTGGGGTAAACTTCATATTGAACCAATGAGTGTAAAAACTTCAAAGCAAGTTAGTCTGTAAACAGTTGCTGCAATCAGCACTTATCAGACAAAATCAAAGTTGACTGACCAACCAGAGACTGAAATGCATGAGTGATATTGTTACTTAACAATATTCAAATAATATGTTCAGGGGAACAAGAAATAAGCTTCAACATGCATGGCATCGAATCCAGGCATTAATGCAACAAGCAAACACAACTGCCACCAATTTAAGCTTAGCACAATATATACATATATTGTATATGGAGGTGTACTACAGGTATTTTCAGACAGTGAGTGAGTGAGTTTAGTTTTACGCCGCACTCAGCAATATTCCAGCTATATGGTGGCGGTCTGTAAATAATCAAGTCTGGACCAGACAATCCAGTGATCAACAGCATGAGCATCAATCTGCGCAATTGGGAACCAATGATATGTGTCAACTAAGCCAGCGAGCCTGACCAACCGATCCTGATAGTCTATTTCCAGACAGACACTTGTCAATGGCTACCATATGTTGTCCTATGTCTTAGCCCGTAATCACACAGTGATCTTCAAACTGAACTCTTAAATAACATAGTTTTAACAATTCCATTTGTAGAATGTTGAATCATCCCGGTGGAGACCAAAATTTGTGACCTTGGTCTCATACTGTGTTGTGTCCCTGGGCAAGGCACTTTCGTCCACATTGCACTCAGTCCACCCAGCTGTTCAAATGGGTACCTGAGAAGCGGATGTACGGACCTATACGGTCGCATGAAGTGCTTAGTAGCAGCTTTGAAAGTATAAATCCGTCAGGGTAATAATGTAACGCCGGAGAGCAGCAACGTGCTGGATTCTAGGCGCAAAAATTAGCATTATTATTATTATAACTGCAGATAAACATACTGTTTTCTCGATAAACATACAGTATTTTCAGTTCAGATCTATGTTGTCTATATCTTGTATACTGATAAATTCACAATGGAACCAAACATTCAGTGTAAGATATACAAAATTATGATATTTGTTCCCTTCACTTACAGACACGAAACTGTTACACTACAGTCCATCATCAAATATTAGTGGCAAGTAACAACAGGAATCTTTCTTTGTAAGTCCAATTATCTCCACAGATTGACAACAATATCAAGCCAACCAATCAGTAAGTGGCACAGGTTTTTTATTGCCCAATCAAAATTGGCCTTAGTTTGACCTTGAAGCATGTATTGTCTGTAACCAACCTTCCTGCCAGATGTCCAAGCTAATATGGGGATGGTCAGTAGCACCCACAAAGGGGTCAGTATGATCATTATCTCCTTAAGGAAGAAGCCCATCTAATCATGGCCACTGTACCAAGCAGGATCAGATATAGGGGGTAATTTCATCCACAAGGAATACCAAGGTCAGGCTGAAACATGACCTTCAACCCTTGATGTAATTATTCTAATATTGCTTGGTAAGATACGAAACCCCTGTACTGTTTTAAATTCTGTTTCATCTGTATAAATTTGATGGGGCTTTTTACAAACAGCTGTGATATTATTGGAGAGTTAAGTGACTTTGGTGAAAAAAAATTGTTCATGTTTTCAGGAAAATATTAGTGAGTGGGGCGGAAACTTATGTGTTTTTTACTGAATGCAAACTGATGTTACCCACAAAAAATGTGATAAAAAATGTCAAATGGCAAGATTTACAAAACTAAGATACGGACATATTGCACCCATGGCAACATTCCAAGAAAATACTGTTTTATTCAAATATTTTTATGCAAACCTAAACATCCAATGATGCCCTTACAAAGTACTGGTAACTATTCAGTATTCAAAACCTTTAAATTAGGAATATACATTTGAAAACAACTTCAAGATACAGCTAGTTTTCCTTTCTGTTAAAAATCTTTGAAACACATTCTTTTAAAGTATGAGTTGAGAAACAATTTTTTTTCTTCTAAACATTGTTCTTGTGAGGTATTTAATCATCTACCTTTCGCAAAAAGAAAATAAATAAGGAAATTCATGGGTTTGGTCTGGATGAACCCAAATGAATTCAGTACACCTCCAGTTTTGATCAGGAGCTTCAACTTGATGTCAGCTTAGAGAGAAAAAATATTCAGATGGAATATCTTAATTTTTCTTTTTCACAAAATCTTGTACAAATTTCCAGTTTTAATTTAACAGAATTCAAAAACACTTACCTCAGTGCAATACTTTTTGCATGGAATTATTCATAAGACTGCAAGGTAAAATCTGAAAACAAATAGAAAATATTTGAAGATTTCATTAGGCAAAACATTTTTTTGTGATAAATCCACCAAAAATGTTTGATTATTTATGAGTTCATGCATGCAAGGAGCCAGTCACAAAACACCATTGTAATCCATGGCATTTCATGTAATTCACAGGATGATTTAGCTCTTGGAAATTAAGATCCTGAAAAGTACATTTATACCATGACTAAACTAGTCTTAAAATTCTTGCAAATACGAAGTATTCTTGTAAACAGAGATGAAACAAAGTCATATCTCTGGATTACTGCATTACCAACCTTGGTCAGTATTACCAACCTGTAGGATGTTTCCACACAGTTAATGTACAAATGCAATGGCATATTAAATACAATTATATGAAGGATATTTTGGTGATCCTGATGTATTTGAGAAGTTTTGTCACATGTTTATACATTTTTGGTGAAAGCCAAATAACAGACCCTGATCCTTGACAACCTATCACATGAAGATCCTTGACAAGCAAACATATGCAGATCCATGATAATCAAATTTATGCAGATCCATGACAACCCATCACATATATATCCCTCATAACGAATCATGTGCAGATCCTTGACAAGCAAACATATAAAGATGTTTGACAACCATCACACAGATCCATGACAATAAATCATGTGCAGATGCTTGAAAAGCAAACATATGTAGATGTTTGACAACCATCACACACAGATCCATGACAATGAATCATGTGCAGATGGTTGACAAGCAAATATATGAAGATGTTTGACAACCTTCACATACAGATCCATGACAATAAATCATGTGCAGATCCTTGACAAGCAAACATAAGAAGATGTTTGACAACCTTCACACAGATCCATGACAATAAATCATGTGCAGATGGTTGACAAGCAAATATATGAAGATGTTTGACAAACCATCACATACAGATCGATGTCAATAAATCATGTGCAGATGGTTGACAAGCAAACATATGAAGATGTTTGACAACCCATCACATACAGACCCATGACAATGAATCATGTGCAGATCCTCAACAAGCAAACATATGTAGATGTTTGACAACCATCACATACAGACCCATGACAATGAATCATGTGCAGATCCTCAACAAGCAAACATATGAAGATGTTTGACAACCCCTCACATACGTCAATAAATCCTGTGCAGATCCTTGACAAGCAAACATATGAAGATGTTTGACAACCATCACACACAGATCCATGTCAATATATCACGTGGAAATCCTTCACATAGAGATCCATGTCAATAAATCATGTGCAGATCCTTGACAAGCAAGCATATGAAGATGTTTGACAAGCATAAGTGCAGTTCCTTGACAACCTGTAGCTTGCACACACCAGATCCTTGGCCTTGAAACCCACCACTTGATGACCTTGACAATCAATCACATGCTAATCCTTTACAACCAATCACAGCAGAATCATGACAACTAATCAAATGTAAATCCCTCCCAATTAAACCATCCAGGCAATCGTCACCTTTGTATCATGTAAGCTACATGAGTATAAGCTCTGAAGCCAGGCCTGGACAATGGAATACTATAGTCAATGACATCTACTGGATAACTTGATAACCAATCACATCTCGCTGGAATCCACTATACTTTATCCAACATGAGGAAAACATGGCTAGAAGAATTATGTGTTTTGATTGGAAGAAGTCTGTCAATATTGCATTGCAATCAGAATATGGCCAAGAATTCTCCCTGCCAGGAATAACCATAAAAGTCCTCCTTTGTCCAGTTCATCCAGTCTTTAGTTGCCTTTATGATAGAAGGCAACCACTTTGGTCCATCTGTATTCCAGGATCAAAGCTTCCAGTCTTAATCATAGCCTTGACTTCTGCAAGATTACCCAGATCATCAATCATGCTTTGTATTCAGATCCAGGAATTCATAGACAACTGTACCAAGGGGGAATCATGTGTCAGTGAGGTTTTGTGCAACTATCCACTTTAGCAATCATCTTGATCAAAGCCCTGACTGTCACAATAGGTCACCCTATGATGAAATGTTAATAATAAGATGTCAGATGTACTACAGGAGAAGGAAAGTCTGCCCTGTCCCTATGTCTGCTCAGTCTCCTGACCTACTCCATGTACTCACCTACCCAGTTCTGTGACCCAACCAATCCCCTGGTCTACATTATCCTCTGTCCAATCACTGACCTTCCCAATTCCATAACCCAACCAATCCCCTGGTCTACATAATCATCTGACCAATCACTGACCTTCCCAATTCCATAACCACACCAATCCCCTGGTCTACATAATCATCTGACCAATCACTGACCTTCCCAATTCCATAACCCAACCAATCCCCTGGTCTACATAATCATCTGACCAATCACTGACCTTCCCAATTCCATAACCACACCAATCCCCTGGTCTACATAATCATCTGACCAATCACTGACCTTCCCAATTCCATAACCACACCAATCCCCTGGTCTACATAATCATCTGACCAATCACTGACCTTCCCAATTCCATAACCACACCAATCCCCTGGTCTACATAATCATCTGACCAATCACTGACCTTCCCAATTCCATAACCACACCAATCCCCTGGCCTACATAATCATCTGACCAATCACTGACCTTCCCAATTCCATACCCCAACCAATCCCCTGGCCTACATAATCATCTGACCAATCACTGATGTACACAATTCCATGACCCAACCATTCCCTGGACCTAGCCAATCCTTTAACAAATCCCTGACCTTCCCTATCTCTCAAACCCCCAACACCCTGATTTACCCTATCCCCGGACCAACCCAATCCCCTGATATCCATGAAGATTTGGTTTAGAATTTGTCTTCAGCAGCCCATACTTGTTATAAGAGACAACAAATGGGATCAGGCTCGCTGACCTATTTGATGAATGTCATCATATCCCAATTGCATGGACGGATCCACATGATTTCAATCACTGGATTGTCTGGTAAAGACTCAATTATTCACAGAATGCCTTCATATAGCTGGAGGGGCGTCAGGGTAGCCTACTGGTTAAAGCATCGCTTGTCACACCAAAGACCCGGGTTCTATTCCCCACATGGGTACAATGTGTGAAGCCAATTTCTGGTGTCCCCCACCATGATTTTGCTGGAATATTGCTAAAAGTGACCAAAAAACCAACTCACTCACTCATATAGCTGGAACATTTCTGAAAGCAGTGTTACACAACCAACAAACCCAATCATTTGACCTACCCGATCCCAATAGAGTGAGTGAGTTTGGTTTTATGCCGCTTTTAGCAATGTTCCAGCAATATCACGGTGGGGGACACCAGAAAGGGGCTTCACACATTGTACCCATGTGGGGAATCGAACCCGAGTCTTTGGTGTGACGAGCGAACGCCTTAACTACTAAGCTACCTCACCGCCCCCCGATCCCAATAGAAGGACAATAAATACTTCCACAAGATGACCAACCAGGCCAACAAGAACCAATGTTCCAAACAAAACAACTATCCAGGTGAATGTAACCTTCAAGAGATTCACATCAACAACAACACCCACTTCCAATAAATCAATCTGCCACACATACTGCCTCACAAACCCTTCAGACTGAAGAATCTCAATTGGTCGTAACTGGTTAACACCCAATTCAATAATACCCACTGGTTAACACCCAATTCAATAATACCCACAGTTTTACTTTCGTCATACTTTTGCAACTTTTGATGAGTGAGTGATTGAGTGTGGTTTTAAGCCACTTTCAGCAATACTCCAGCAATATATGGCATCAGAAATGGGCTTCACACATTGTACCCAAGGGAGGAATCAAACACAGGTCCTCAGTGTGACGAGTGAATGCTTTAACCACTAGGCTACCCCACGGCCCCAACTTTTGATGAATCCACAGAGACGCAATATACCTGTTGTTTAAGCACTTCGTGATTGAAATTAATCCAATCAACGTTCAAAGCTCTACAGGGTTAAAAATTTAACGTAATTATCTTTATTACACTACAGTCCTATTCCAAGTCAAACATGTCTGATGGTTAAACTATAAATAACATGACTAACTGATTCATCCAAGATAGTAATATTGTTGAAATATTTACTGTTCTTTTTCAACTGATACCTGGTGACTTATAAAACAAATTAGCTTGCAAAAGTAGCTGCTATCACAGTAAGCCATGCATCACACAGGTAATTAGTTCCTTTGAAATTGCATTCAAATATTTGGCAGTAAAGTGACTGGAACTAGATAAACCTAAGATAATAAACTGGTGGAAAATATACCTCATACCAATTATACAGCAGACTGAAATATGGAACTGTGGCTATTCCCACAGCTCTTTTAAAATAGAATAACTGAAGATCTTTTGAAACCAAAAAGAATGCTAATAAATTTGTGAAAAAGCTTAAATGTATGTTCTCATAAAGAATCTTAATGAATGCTAAGTTGGTATCATATGAAGATTATTATGAGAAACAAGAAGCTTCCATATGGCACAAGGGACTTGTGATATGCTGGACTTGTCGACACCAGTTTAACACTCACTCACTCAACACTACAGTGAGTGAGGGGATAGTAAGTGGGCAAAACAGTGAGTGGTGGAAACAGAGTGAATTTAGTTTTATGCCGCTTTTAGCAATATTCCAGCAACATCATGGCAGGGGACACCAGGAATGGGCTTCACACATTGTAACCATGTGGGGATTCGAACCCGGGTCTTCGGCGTGATGAGCCAACACTTTAACCACTAGGCTACCCTACCGCCCCCACACACATGGAAACGTCCCATGTTTTCCAACCATGCCTGACCTGCATCCTCTTGTGATTTCTTCTAAGCTGAATTTGAAATTCTGTGTAATCCGGAGTCGCTATTTCACTTGAGCAGAAGTACTAAAGTACTGTCAGAAATGCTAGAAAAATGCTTTTTGACTTATATTTAAAATTCAGAGGTATTACAGTTACTTAAATAACAAATATCAATTTAAGAAACATCTACCTAATGTAGA